CTCCACACTTTGCATTCTGGCTACATGATTCTAGCTTTACTAACAGAGATATACCATTGTTTTAACTACATCAGTTTATTGTACCTAACTGCTATTTTATTGTGATTCCTCCAGTATTTCTCTTTGTTTTTGCAGTATTATAATGGACTGTAACTGTTTTTGGATCATAATATAATCTAAAGGATATGAACTTTACAGTAATTGAAGATACAAAAATTATTAATAGGTACAAAATGTAGCTGTGGAACTCCTTATTAGCTAGTCTATTTCAAACTACAATATATTTCATAAAAAGAAAATCAAGATTAGTTGATTATACACCTTCTAGCACATAATTATACATTGTCATTTATGTCATTTACATTAATAAAAAAGAAGACCTGTATTTTGATGAAATTTGTGGTTGAGGTTAATTTTCTTTGGTGATTCATAGTTTTTGTTCATGATGTTTGAAGGGTATGTACTGTGTTAGAAGTACATTATCTGTTGTAGTCTTGTTTTATTAACCCTCAAGAGTCATGTCTACTAGGCCTTGCATGTTTACCCCACTCCTTGAAAAAAAATTTCTATAGTATTATTATTTTTATTCATATTGTTATAATAATAATCATAACATTAGCCTGTTGGATCTGTTACCTCTTGGCCTGCACTTGGACCAAATCTGGGCATCAGGTTTACTTGAGCTTACTCTCCTGTGTATGGCTTGTAGGCTGGGTGTCCATGAATACTCAAGAATCCTTGTCTCCCCTTTGCATTCTTATTGCTTTTTCTGCATGAGTGTTGTTGTTGTTGTTTTCCATTTTTCAAAGTCTACAATTCTATGTAACAATGACAGTAAGTAACATTGTGTTATTTATGTCCTTTTTTAGTATTTTCATAGTGTTCAGTTTTATGTAACACACCCTGCAGAACTAGTTATGGCAGGCAGGAATAAGATCCTAAGCTTTAAAATAGACTCCACTCTTGAGTCACTGCTCTTTCAATCCTGACATGCAGATGGTACATTCTACCCTTGTTTACTGGTGGAAATAAAGCAAAAGCCCCTTCCTAAATGCCCACTGAGTCTAATCTTCCTCCAAGAACTTTGTTCATGTATG